TTATTTTGATGGAATGGCCGATGTCCGATATTTAACTTTATCGCTAATATCGGCCGATACGATATCATGCCGATAATATCGTGCATCCCTAGATCATAATGAAGATCTCTAATTCCAAAGCTTCACCGAGGTGGCCAGAAAAAAGATAAAGACAAAGATCTGAGTATAATGTAGATCAATATGACGCAGATTAAAGATATAAAAATGTCTTAAGCTTTCAAAGTGACTCGTTTGACATTTTTTGTCCAGACAGACATTTTGTCCTGCAGCTCTCAGACAGTCGAGGCATGAAGCATCAGAGTCGGAGCTGCAGACAGAGATCAAGATCACCTGATAATACTCAGTCTTACCTCATCCCAGAAAATGGGATTTCTTTCATAGCCGCCCACTGACAGCGCGTCTCCTTGTAGGCGCAGGTACACCGACGCATCATGGTCCCTGACATTTGGCATGTTCTGCAGACAGCCAACATTAAAATAAAAGGATTCAGTAATTAGAAAAGTAATTAATCATCTTGCTGTCAGCTGAACCCATTTTATGGAAAGTGTTTTCACTTTTTCATCCCCCATGTGCTGTTTGGCCTTTAGACCATATTTCTGGCTATTACAAAAAACACTTTCAGAGGAGGAATGAAACACGTCGAGCTTTTTACCCTTCATTAAAACTGTTTCAAACAAACTGATGGGTTTCAAATTCAGTCCAACTTTATTAAAGTGATAATTCAGATTTTAGAACTAGGGTTCTGTGGAAAGTTTGTGAAGCAAACATGTCTTACCTGTTGTAGATAGCTCTTTGAATAACCCCAGTTTGGATGAGTAGCATCTAATTATGACCAAATCAAAAAACTAACAGCTAGTTTAAATGAAATCAAGACTAGAGTGGATTTGACTGGATTTATGAACCAACAGCTAACATTAGCAGGATTAAGCCCAAAGTAGATTACAGCTGACTTTAAAATATTTTATAAAAAATTTAAATCTATAATATTCTAGCACCCTTTATACACCTTTAGATCACCATTTATGTCACTTAGGCCTGTCACAATAAACAATAAATCAATTAATCGCACGATAAATTAAAATTATTGACCTCGTTTTCATTTATTGGCTTTATCGTTTCTTCGCGTCTCTCTTTCTACTGAAGACACTGGACGACAAAAGGCTCAACTCCGGTGCTCTCTCTTCACTGACCTTTCTAGTTTCTCTTTAAAATCCATTTTAACGCTCCAAAATCGCGTTTT